CTATTGTATCAATGCGAATAGTCATAATTATAGAGTCATGTACATGTACATGTACTACAGCATTGTGTACATTATATGTATCAAATCAGAATACAGTGTACTGGCATGAAGGAAGCAGCTGACTATTTCACCACACGCAGAGATAAAGCATACTTTATTCCACAGGGTACTTGTACATGTACAATCATGCCTTCCAGCACAGGAAGTCAGTCATAAGTATGTTCAAAGCATGTACAGTAGGTATCGGTTATAGCGTGGGTTTTTGAAAAACGACTTTCTATTCTTATTTCCGATATTTCTTACACATGATAAATCAAGTGTGGCATATCATATGCATGTCCGCAGGGGCAGGAAGATCATCGTACATGCAACACAGTACTTCTGTGCATGTGGCTGGTCATAGTCCCATAAGCTTACATGTGGCTATGCAAAAATTGAGTTACATGGCCACAACAGTTGAATCTGCAGCACTACGACGCAACGAGAGTCACATCAGAACGGAATTGGACAGATGTTATTACTACAGGCGATACACTTTGTACTAATTGGCATGTTTCGCTACACAAAGTCCATTCTTAGGACCGATATATTCTACTATGGGATAAAATTGCTTGTAAGAATAAATGTGCACTTGAAATCCATGTTATGATTATGAAAACATGAGGGTTCATTCTTGTATGCAGTATATTCTTTTACACGACCACGCTATAACCGATACGCACTGTACATGCACATTGGTTACGATTCCAGCAGGCATGCGCATTAAAGTAGACAGAAGGCCAGTTTCGATGGCCCACAAGAACATGACATAATATATTTCATCGATAATAATGTGTACAAGAGCATGGACATTACAGATGCTGTCATCAAGTTTGACTTCAAGTCGACTCCGGAGAACCACAGAGCGGAATTCTTGGGGTCTCTGCAACACGATGTCGACAGCCTTGGCATAAATTGCTTGATCCAGAACTACCATCGTGAATGGAAGATCAGCCTGCCTTGCCATAGTAATGGAGCGGCATAGTAGGGTATAGACAGTGAGGTTCTATATTGGCGATGCATTGATCACCGGACAGTAACCAATCTCCGACTTAGAAGGCACATTGTTCTTCGTCGCGAGATAATTGAATGCTGTCCACGCGGGTATGCTCTGAGACTTGCCATCAGCTGCAGCTCCAATCTCAATGACTGCACGAGGCTTGCTGATCTGTCCATCTGGGCAGAACCGGGAGAGCTTCCAGACAAAGTCCATCAATGCAGCACCAGAGCGGGTGTCAGCAGCATAGGCGTATGATGGGAGGTGGATTTTGTCTTGCAGGCATTGCAAACACAGGCTGAATCTCCGGGACCATTGTCAATGAGCGCTTTCGCTTCGACGTTGACAGTGTAGGCAGAGAGATGGAAGTCGCTTCACTTGCTACCGATTCATCCTGCAGAGAAGGCTGTACAACGATACCATTTGTACAGTGCGTAGTCGCAAGTCCGCTCAGTGTCTCCTCGCAAGGGTCATTGTTATCTCACACGAAATGGTACGGCTTGCGAGTGTCGATGGCGGCAGGCAAGAAAGACTGATTGTGCTGATGGCGTGTAAAAGACTCTGCCAAGCAAGTCTCCAGCTCCAGTACCTGGCTGTAGCTACAGCAATAGCCAAGACGATTCAACATGGTAACTATCTGCTTACTGCGGCACAGGTGATGGATTGCCATGCCCAGCACAATGTGTTTCGGAGTGCGGTAACCAGTGCCGCAAAACCGATAAGATCCTGGCAGATGGCATGGATACGGCGTTGCAGAACACTCTCAAGAGACGGCAAGCGGCACGTCGGGAATTCGGCATCCTTGTCCAGGGTCCATGCAAGAAAATTAAAGAGCTTGTCAGGAATCAATCGCGCGCTATCCTCAGGAGACAGCCGTGCACCGCTCAGTTCTTGCTTCGTGGACTTGACATGGTGCTCGATGGATTGGCGGAGGATGTTTGCTGCATGATATAAGACTCTCCATTCCTCACACTCATTGGTCCAGACATGGCTACTCTCCACTTTGGCAGACTCATCCTCAGACTCCTCCCCAGACTCACTGCAATAAGGATCGGCGGGCATTAGGGGTTCATCTTCTGCAACTTCCTCCTTCAGCAGTGCAAACTGTCTGATAAAGTTGTCAGTCGAGCTAACAGCACACAACAATTCAGGGGCGTTGCAGCGAGCTGGCCATCAAACTCTTTCAAAATGATGCTCTTCAGTTTTCGATTTCTGACCTGAGTGCAGAAGTTGCCACTTTCCTTGTTACAGCAGGTCTGGAAGATGGACTGGAGATCAGCAGAGGTCAGCAGTGCAGAATTGTCAAACAATTCTTGACGCACGACCTCAAGAAACTGGGCAACTACTTGTTCCTCCGAAGGAGCCTGTCCACCAATTCCCTGAGGGTCGTCCCCAGGATCCTCGACCTCCAATAGTCTGGTGTACTCTCGGAAGCAGTGCCAATGGTAGTGAACTTCACGTGCTATGAGGCAAGACTGAGAACCAATAGCTATTACAATAGCCTCGTCTCTCCGCAACTTAGCTGCGTCTAGCACTTTCTGGGCAGCGTTGTGTGACTGGCACTGCGAAGTTTTCTGATACTTGTGCTTCTTTCCCAGCTGAAATTTCTGACAGAATATGCACTCCTTTCGCCCTGGCTCTACAACTGGTACAGATAGACTTTGCCGAGTTGTCCGCTGGGGACAATCTGCCTGTGACATCGACTTTCCAGAACCTCACCACCCGAAAACAAACTACTTACTATTATGCGTGAGAGTACAAAAAGGCAAAAACGGAGAAGAAGCGCAGTAGTAGTACGTGAATCGACACATCCGAGTTCACTTTTGAAACTTGACACTCCACGTGGACCGCTGAGCACGTGAGGTGTGAGACTAGACTCTGTATGCGTGTTTCGCGCAGCGCAGACTATGCTCAGTTCGCCGTACAATGGACGGGACAGTCCCGTGAGGAAAACTTACCGTTGCGTGACTGCTCGCGCGGAGAAGAAACTCAGCGCAAGAGACAAGCGGCAATGGCTGAACAGGTGCGAGAAAAGTTACTCGATGGAGGCCTTCCATTCGCATTTTGAAGCAATTTTTTGTTGATTCCGTGTCAGGAAGGCCACTGCTTTCATTATCTGCAGTCAAATTGTTGTGCGGACGAAGTGGAAACGAAAGTTTTTTTCAGCCACTTTTTTGATGCCTGGCCCCCGTACTAGGTCAGTTCAGCTTCTCTTCTTCGCAGTGACTACAGCCTACAGCCTACAGGTGCAGGTGAACATTGCAGTTTGCACCAAACTGAGCTCCGGAAAAGTTGATGGTCTTCGTAGCTTTCTGCATCAGAGACCGTTGGTGAGTTGGGGATTGCACTGTTGGGTCACAAGTTGCGATGTACTCATCAATGTCGGGATCGTGGAACTCAGTCTGCTGCTGTGATCGCTGAACGCTCGTTGTTGGCGCTGTAAGAGCACGGGTAGCAAGCAGCATTGGTTGCAGTTGGAGACTCTCCATCCAGAACTGCAGCCATCTCTTTTCTCTTTTGTTCTGAATTCCTGTTGGCATATGCGGTCAACGACTGGACCTGGCGATGTCCCGTCGTCCCCATGATCGCTGTCTCCGACACGCCCGCATCCACAAGCTTCTGCACTGCTGTTGCGCGGACACAATGATTTGTGTAGGATCTCGAAAAAAAAAGCGGCCTCTGATGGCTGAATCGGAGCACGCCTAGGCGTGCTCCGATTCAATCGGAGCACGCCTGGGCGTGCTCCGATTGGAAAATCGGAGACCTGCAAGCGCTCACAGGTCTTCAGTGGCTGATTCAAAGCACGGCAAGTCGCGCTAGGATTCGCTGTTGCCATGTCGATTGTCATGTGACATGTCAGAAGTATGGAATCGAGCATGAGTACGAGGACGAAAGTGCGGAATCGGAGCCCGACGCGCGCTAGCGCGGAGGGCTCCGATTCTAGCACTTGAGTCCGAGTACGAATGCTTTGATACCATTTCTGACATGCATTGCACGAACTACTTCGTACTACTAGTACTACTACATGTAGTACTTCACACATACCTAGTACCTACTCAAGGCACGCACACTAGACCAGACAAGGAACACAACTACTTTGTAGTCGCCAGTTTAGTACTTCAGACATGTTACATAATGACTAATGTACACAGTCACAACACAGAGATAAAACAAGGGCGGTCTAGTCAGCTAAAAACCAGGTCAGTTCAGCTTCTCTTCTTCGCAGTGACTACAGCCTACAGCCTACAGGTGCAGGTGAACATTGCAGTTTGCACCAAACTGAGCTCCGGAAAAGTTGATGGTCTTCGTAGCTTTCTGCATCAGAGACCGTTGGTGAGTTGGGGATTGCACTGTTGGGTCACAAGCTGCGATGTACTCATCAATGTCGGGGCGAAATTTTGAATCACTGACATGTCCTGTTATTCTTCACAACCACCACTTATTCACTTTCAACATCAAACTAACAAAGCACTTGTAGCAAGTCCCTGCACATCTGCATTCTTCAACCATAATGCACTATGCACTTAGTCTTTCATACCGGCGCTCCACTCCCGCCTAAAAAACTCCCGCCTAAAAAAAAAAAAAAAAAAAAAAAAAAAAAAAAAAGCGGCCTCTGATGGCTGAATCGGAGCACGCCTGGGCGTGCTCCGATTGGAAAATCGGAGACCTGCAAGCGCTCACAGGTCTTCAGTGGCTGATTCAAAGCACGGCAAGTCGCGCTAGGATTCGCTGTTGCCATGTCGATTGTCATGTGACATGTCAGAACTACTGATGATAGCGATAGTACTGTCTTCATTCAGACTACAGTACGTGTACAGGAGAACACCCCGGTCCCCGCGCCCGGACCAAAATCTGGATCCACGAAAAGGTTCGTACCACTGTACCAGTGCATGCACCACGTAGACCTACACACGTCACACAGGCTACAGCCTTATGGCTATGGCTATGAAAAAAGTAAAGTGATTCAATATGTCAGGAATTTGTTATTCGTTGAACATTAACTGTATTGAAATTAGTTTGTAGTTCATTCTGGAGTTGTAATTGGTGCTGTTATTTAGGGATGGCGTGTTCACTATTGAATCGCCGGGCACCGCCAGCTACTGTGACTGTGACGACGACTGTTGTCCAGCTCCTAGTAGCGTGTCTTGCTGTGAGTACTTTCACTAGTGACTCAGTCACATCGGCTGAAGGCATATCCTCAAGAGATAGTACTCCTCTGCCTGCATTCAGTTGGAAGACAGTCCCTGCGTTCTTCCATTCCAGTTACTTGAACTCGCTGACGTTTCCCGAGAGTGCAATGAAGATCATAACGAAATTCCCGATCGTGACCATTGAGAAATGGCAAGGTTGCAAAGCATCAGACTACACGTATGAGGACGATGCTATGCTGGCAGCTGCAAAGCAGATCAAGACTGCCAATCCGGAGATCAACGTTAACGTATGGTTTGATTCGTTTCGTATCTACTCTAATAAATCCCTGAATCCATCCGCCATTGATAATGCCAACCAGTTTTGCATCAGAAGTCGCCATTCAGAGTTTCTCGAATCTCATGTCGACTATCTATTACGTAACACATCTGGTGACTTGGCTATCGAGTCTTACTGCCATCTTCATGTCTACGACTATGTGAAGCCATACGTACAGGAATACTGGACACAGATGTGTCTGAATATGACCAAGTCAGGCTATGTCGACGGCTGTGGCTGTGATGGCTCGCAATCACGAGCGGCGGACAGTGGCTCGGTACAGGTACCACATATCGCAGCTGACTACGCTATCAAGTGGAATGCAGCAAAGATTGACATGATGAACACAACACGCAGTGCACTCAATGGTGGACTTTTACTGGGTAAGGAACCATTTGAGATTGGTACATACATCGATGCCATATTGCATGAAGGATGTGCGGCTAACAATCAGACTATTCTTATGCTGCGGAATATCAGCGCGCTATCGAAAGATTTAGGAAGGCCGCTGATTGTCGAATGTCACTTTAGTGGTGTGAATGAGAATGAGGTAGCAGCGTTTCTCATCGGTGCTGGTCAGTATCATTACTTTGGTGCCGGTGGCTGGAACGGTGCAAGCTTTGATAGCCACTGGGATGACAAACTGTTAGGAAGTACCCTGGGTGATCCAGCTACTGATGCAGTCTACGATGTGGAGAGTCAAGTATGGGCAAGAAAATTTGCTTCTGGCACATCTGTAGCATTCAATGCTAAAACCAAAAAGGGAACTATTGCCTGGAGTGGTTAGGCCCCTTCCTCAGCATGGAGTGGTTAGAGCGTTTTCTCAGCATGCTGGCTGCCGGCCATATTGCACGGCATAGTATTTTTCATTCTAGGTGGTTTTGCCTCAACGGCATATGAATCGTAATTGATGATTGTGAAAGGCTAGATATTTCTTGTTGTATAGTTTATTTGGAGTGTGTGTGTCCGTTGCCTGGAGTAGCCATTCACGTCTACAATTACTGCCAAGGGCGCAACAACTTTAAATTCATATTATTATCAATCAGAAGAGTTCGTAAAGTATGGTTCATTATTTTTATTTCGATTTCTGAAGTGGATATTTCTGCAGTGGATATTTCTAGGGTAATGTTTTTCTTCGCCATCTACCAATCCAAATTGGCTATACTATCACGTCGATTGTGTATATTTTGTTGCTGTCATCACCTCACAAAATTCTTGGAAGTAACTCCCCGAATAGTTACACGACATGCCTCTTTGGAATTGTTCTTGTTCCAGCCCCCCCCCCCCCCCCCCCACACACACACCTGTCCCTGGCTCAGTCCCCTGGCTCAATCCCTTGCCTATGTTGGTTTTCCCTCTGTTCTGCTCTTTCCCCGTATCGACGTGCCCATATTGCTGGGCTCTATGGTTACCTTTACTAACATAACGCAGGACGAGATATTTCAAAATACTTCAGTTATCTCGGTCGCAAAGTCACACTTGGTTTCTCTTAGAATTCGTTGGAATCATTCTGAGGTACAGGGGGGGGGGGGGGGGGTACAGGAGGGAGGGGGGGGGGGGTACAGGGGGGTTGTAAGCATGCGTACATGTCTCTCTGTCTTCACCGTCCAATGTGTACAGTTATTCCAACATGTCCTGATTTAACGCATCCGTGCGCAGTGGATTATTGTACCGCAGCTGAGCGGTAAGACGTCAATTTCCCTTACATGACCGTTGACTGCAGCACAGCTGATCACCGATACTGTTGCCTGTCCCCGGGGAAAATCGCGGAAAAAATCGCAAAAAACGCGGCATAATATGGCATAATTTGCGGTGAATTTGCGGTAAATATGCGGTGAATATTATTGATATCATCTCACGGCGGCAAGTTTGCAGTTGATATGAGGCAATTTTCAGTGAGTATGTAGTGAAATCAATCAGGTACAAGTCTCTGGTGTAAGCACTCGTCATATTTGAGTACAAAGCCGCCACGATGAGACGTTGCTGACCGAACAGTGCACTGTGTGTACGTGTAAAAAAAAAAGAAAAGTAAATTATCGTGTCTGTTCCCGAAGGGAACTCACGACGGCCGCTAACACCCGATAAACCCTAGCGGCAGATGCAGCGCCTAACGGTGGGGGTGAGTGGATAAGTCTCACAACCACTGGCACAAGTGCCGAAAACGACCCCATTAGCTGCATCCATGTACCCCTTGTGCCTGGTCACAAGTTCCCAGTTGACTGTGGGTAGCAGCACGGCTGGAAAAACCGCTCCCAGGCAGGACTTGAACCAGGTACCTCTCGTATCTCAATCATGGTCTTTGACCAACCCACTGTGCCTGCCTGTGTACGTGTAGTGCAACAAAAAAGTTCAAGAAAAGCGGGAAAATCGCGGAAAATGCGGTCTTTTAAAAAATCGCAAAAAAACGCGGAAAAAAACCCGGCCGCGGAATCACAATTTTCCCCGGGGACAGTGTTGCACACAATGCAGACTGTTTTTGGCGTTCTTCGCCGCAGTGAATCTCCCAGGGAAGATACAGGTGGACACAACAATATTATGCAATGCGATTTTGCTAGTTTTAGATTTCGACTCAACATTCAAAATTCTACAGCTGTTACAGACCATTGTGTGTGGTCAAGTTGAACTATATGTATAACAACAGTCCCAGCCATACTTCTCATTCCTAAAACAAACTGCCTTCTTGCCACCAGGTCCAAGAACAACACCCACCAGGTCCAAGAACAACACCCACCAGGTCCAAAGAACAACACCCACAAAGTCCTGTTTTCTCATGAATAACAATAATCTCTACTCTTAGTAATCTCTACTCTAAACGTATGCATGCACGGTACGGGAATGCATGCACGGTACGGGAATGCACGCACGGTACGGGAATGCACGCACGGTACGGGAATGCACGCACGGTACGGGAATGCACGCACGGTACGGGAATGCATGCACGGTACGGGAATGCATGCACGGTACGGGAATGCACGCACGGTACGGGAATGCACGCACGGTACGGGAATGCATGCACGGTACGGGAATGCATGCACGGTACGGGAATGCATGCACGGTACGGGAATGCACGCATGGTACGGGAATGCACGCACGGTACGGGAATGCATGCACCGTACGGGAATGCATGCACGGTACGGGAATACGCTCCCGGTACGGGAATGCATGCACGGTACGGGAATGCTCTCCCAGTACGGGAATGCGCTACCGATACGGGAGTGCGCACATGGTGCGGGAATGCGCTCCTGGTACGGGAATGAGCCCCCGGTACGGGAATGCATGCACAGTACGGGAATGCTCTCCCAGTACGGGAATGCGCTACCGGTACGGGAGTGCGCACACGGTACGGGAATGCGCTACCGGTACGGGAGTGCGCGCACGGTACGGGAATGAGCTCCCGGTACGGGAATGCACTCCCGGTACGGGATACATAGGCTTCAGTGTGATTGAAAGGTACAGGGATACATTGGCTTCAGTGTGATTGAAAGGTAGTGTGATTGAAAGGTACAGGGATACATTGGCTTCAGTGTGATTGAAAGGTACAGGGATACATTGGCTTCAGTGTGATTGAAAGGTACAGGGATACATTGGCTGCAGTGTGATTGAAAGGTAGGTGAGTTACTTGTTGAAAATTTGGGTAACGGGCTGTGAGGGAATTGACAACGTGACCATGTCACTAGTAATTTGTGTTTGCACTCTAGCGGACAGTGTTCTTAAAGGGGAAGTTAACCCTAAAATCAAATTTTCACCAGTTGTAGTCTTCGGGGTGCTGAGTCGAATGGTCTTGGTCCGAGGAAGCTGCGACGCTCCCTTCCTTCTTTTTTCCCAATCGAACCCGCGCACTTCCACCGAAACTGGGTGACTGCGCCCTACTAGATGGGGATTTGTATGCAAAATCTCACTAAAAGTGCTATGTCGTTCTTATAAAAGCACGGATGACCGCGATTGGCCCATATATTGTAGTCTTTTGGACGCTGAGTCGACTGGTCTTGGTCCGAAAATGCTGCGATGCAGCGTTCCTCCTTTATTCCCAATCGAACATGATTGAACAAGCGGTCACGTGCTCCTGGGCGCCCAAATCACCTGGTCACCACGCCAGCAGGTGACAACTTTCACACCAAGGTTCAACTCGAGTGACAGGACTGCACACAAAAAAGGTCAAATAGGCTAGTAAGTTGTACCCTGCAGGCACGGTGACCAGGTGACTGGTGTACGCAGGAGCACGTGACCGCTTGTTCAACCATGTTCGATTGGGAATAAAGGAGGAACACTGCATCGCAGCCTTTTCGAACCAAAACCAGTCGACTCAGCGTCCAAAAGACTACAACATATGGGCCAATGGCGGTCATCCGTGCTTTTATAAGAACGAAATGGCGCTTTTACTGACATTTTGCATACAAATCCCCATCTAGTAGGGCGCAGTCACCCAGTTTCGGTGGAAGTGCGCGAGTTCGATTGGGAATAAAGGAGGAAGGGAGTGTCTCAGCTTCCTCGGACCAAGACCATTCGACTCAGCACCCCGAAGACTACAACTGGTGAAAATTTGATTTTAGGGTATACTTCCCCTTTAAAGACAGTATTCTCTATCGGTTGCCATGGCAAAGCCTAGTGTGTTCTACAACCATGTGAGGAGACTATACCTCACACACACACAGACTATACCCCACACACACAGACTGTACCCCACACACACAGACTGTACCCCACACACACAGAAAGTTCAAGACTATACCCCACAGAAAGTTCAAGGATTAGCTGTCTCCAAGAATTGCACAAGGCAAAAAGTTCAAATATT